CCCTGCCCCTGCCCTCCTCCCCTGCCCCTGCCCCTGCCCCTGCCCCTCCCCTCCCCCTCCCCCTCCCTCCCCCCCCTCCTCCTCCTCCTCCTCCTCCTCCTCCTCCTCTTCTTCTTCTTCTTCTGCTTCTGCTTCTGCTTCTTATTCTTATGTGTATTCTTTTTCGTCTTCTTAGTATTAGTATTATCTGTCTTAGTCTTATTAGTCATATTCTTCGTATGCTTCTTCTTCTTCTTCTTAGTATTATTATTATTAGTAGTATTCTTTTTCGTCGTCTTCTTCTTGCTCTTATTATAAGTATTCTTATTCTTATTAACATTCGTATTAGTATTATTACGCTTATTCTTCTATGTATTCGTATTAGTATTCGTATTATTATTCTTCGTCTTCTTCTTCTGATTATTATTACTATTATTATCATCATTCGTCTTTTTTGTCTTCTTCTTCTACTTCGTCTTCTTTCTCCTCCTCCTCCTCTCTCCTCCTCCTCCTCCTCCTCCTCCTCCTCCCCCTCCTCCCCTCCTCCCCCTCCTTTCCCCTCCTCCTCCTCCTCCTCCTCCTCCTCCTCCTCCTCCTCCTCCCCCTCCCCCTCCCCCTCCCCTCCTCCTCCTCCTCCTCCTCCTCCTCCTCCTCCTCCTCCTCCTCCTCCTCCTCCGCCTCCGCCTCCGCCTCCGCCTCCGCCTCCGCTCCGCCTCCGACTCCGACTCCGCCTCCGCCTCCGCCTCCTCCTCCGCCTCCGCCTCCGCCTCCGCCTCCCTCCTCCTCCTCCTCCTTCCTCCCTCCTCCCTCCTCCCCTCCTCCTCTCCTTCCCTCCCTCTCCCTCCTCCTCCTCCCTCCCCTCCTCCCTCCTCCCTCCTCCCTCCTCCTCCCTCCTCCCTCCTCCCTCCTCCCTCCTCCTCCTCCCTCCCCTCCTCCCTCCTCCTCCTCCTCCTCCCTCCTCCTTCCTCCTGCTCCTCCTGCTCCTCCTGCTCCTCCTGCTCCTCCTGCTCCTCCTGCTCCTCCTGCTCCTCCTGCTCCTCCTGCTCCTCCTGCTCCTCCTGCTCCTCCTCCTCCTGCTCCTCCTTCTCCGCCTCCTCCGCTTCCGCCTCCTCCTCCTCCTCCCTGCCCGGCCTTTTCCAAGAACGCCCCGGCTCGGAGTACGGATTCGCGGATTCGCGGATCCGGCGCGCGGGCGCCAGGCGCGCAGGCCCGAGGCACGAGGCCAGTGCCGCCCGAGTTGGCGACGGAGCGCGCCGATGCCGCATGGAAGCGAGGCGCGTCGCCAGTGCTGAGGGAGGTCAGATCTGCTGCGCAGCCGGGCGTCTCGCCATCGCTCGGACGTCCATTCCCTGTGTTTTTTTGTCGGTTTCGTGCGTGGTTCTTTCGCCAAATGATCAAGGAAGCTCCTCGATGGTCCTCGCCGAAGGAAACATGCACACGTCCGAGCGATGCCAAGGCGTCTGCTCAGGTGTGCGTGGCCCCGCGGTGGCCCACAAGATCCTCGGGGGACGCCGACGACGAGGACGAGGACACGAGCACAGAGGGGGAGCCAACGACGGGGCGGCAGAGGAGGAGAGCAGCTCCGTTTCTGCGCTGCCTCGACTCCTCCTGCTCCTCTCCCTCCCAAAAGAGGAGGGGCTCCTCGGGCTCCTGGGCGACTTCGATGTTGAAGTCCTGACGGCGAGGGAGGACCAGGAGGGGAACACGGTGACAGAAGGAGGAGGAGGAACAAGAGAAGAAAGACAGGGAAGGGGAGGATTCTGTTGAGGAGGACAAGGAGGAGAAGGAGGAGGAGGAGAAGGAGGAGAAAAGGAGTACCAGGAGGATGGCAGTACGAGAAGGAGGGGGAGAAGGAGGAGCGGAGGACATGAGCACGAGTGCCGGGCTTACGAGGCAGGAGGGCGCGGCGAGCAGCGACGAGGCGCGCGGGCCCGGGAGAGCCGGTCCTCCGAGGCAGCGGGGCACTCGGACGGAGAGGCGGGGAGGCATGGACGAGTCGGGGATGGACAGAACCCGCTCTATGAAGGGGTCCTGGGACACGCAAATAAATACACACACAAATAGAAAGATTACCCATATCTCTCAACATTTTCTGGGTTTTCGTCTTCCCCCACACTGCCCATATCTTCCCATATTTTCCTGGGGATCGCCGATTAATTGTGTCTATGTGTTTTTTCCCTCCTGACTTTAGTAAAACGTGGTCTAGTGAAAACGACCTCGGGCCCAAACCTGTCGGGCGCAAGCCTGGAGAATGACGGCCGCAGCGCCCTCTCGAGAACCGAAAGCGGGCAATTCGCTAATCGACGTGTCAGGGTGGGGGTTCTGTCCACCCTAGGACGAGGATTAGACAAAGAAACAACTGCATAAACATAAACTGTTGGCGCTCCGCGCGGATTTCTTCGATCTGCGCTGGGCCCCCTCCTGCGGCGCCTCTGGCGCCGCCCCCGGCGCGCTCCACGCGCCAGGGAAAGGGGGTCCAGCGCAGATCCAAGAAATCTGCGCGGAGCGCCAACTGTTTTTTTCTTCGAAGGATGGAACAAGGGCGGAACAATAGGCAGGACAGGAGGACACGGGCGCAGGGGAGGTATCCCCTCGAGGGAGGGAGAGACGGAGAGGTGGAGGGGGGGGGCAGGGGGGAGGGGGAGGCTGAAGGGATCGCGGGTGCGAAAGCGCAGGAGAATTCGTGCCAGAAGGAGGGGGCGGGGAGGAATGGAGACAGTGGAGGAGGGGGGAGACTGAGGGAGGAGGCAGTGAGGTAGGATGAAGGCAGCGAGGGAGGAGGCAGTGATGGATGGGGGAGCGGGGAAAGGGGAACAGGGGGCAGTTGGGGAGGGCCGGATGGGGGAGGAAGAAGGTGGCGAGGAGGACGGAGCGGAGGGATGTGCAGGGAGTGGGTTGGGCATGGGAAGGGGGAGATGAGCAGAGGATCGCCTCGGGGACACCAGCGGCCAACGCAGTGGGGTGACCAACGCAACATGCAATGAATATGGGGAATCGACATCCGTAGACAAAATAGCAACGGTATAACACAATGGCTTTGGACATCGCCGTTTGAACGACTTCAGCAGCAAACTGGTACCGTGATGGTGGGGGGTAACACGAGTGTTCAGTGTAGTCTTTCGGACGTGCCGAGATACACATGCACCTGATGCTGCTCCGCCTCCTCCTTTGTTACCTGTTGGCTTTTGGCTGGTGTGTCGTGACGACGCAGGCTTCAGATCTTCCTCCTCTTTCTTCTCGATGTTTCGTTTCAGCGTATCCCGCGCACGCTATAGCGCAGGGCACGTACATCTCTTAATTTGTAAGCGCATGTTCTGCCCACGCGCCGTGACTGCAAGTACGGATACTGGTAGACCCACACGCCATTGCGGCCCCTCCAGCTCCTCCCCTACGTCCATACGCATGCTCAGGCAGCCATGGCCCAGTCGGGAAAAACCTGCCACAATCAGTGCACGACCTCAGCTGCCCCTGGCAGGCGCGCCGAATCCAACCCAAGCAACTGGGGGACGTTGTACCACCAAACACCGGAACATATGACCGTTTCCCCTGCGCGGCCCCAGAACTACCGCGACCCCTGCCCTTGGACCACATTCTCGCTCTGGATCCGTTCTTGGTGGTTCCCAAGGCCCGATAACTAACAGTCCCTGGAGCCGAAGCGAGAAAAAAACACCAGTCGGAAACACACACACATACACAAATCGTGGAGGGCCCAGGGGTCGACCACCACCGCGTTTTGCACTTTCTCTGTGTGCTTCATTTTCAAACGAGAGCGCTCCGACCGATTGCCCCCGAAACGGCGTTTTGGAGCAAATCCGAACGCATGATTGGCCAATGGTTTGGTGAGCAGAGTGAGGACAACACGACAACGAAGAGACACGAAAACGATCCACGAGATTACCAAAACAACGCTTTGGTCGACCCCTGGGAGCAACCGCCCATCACCACCCGTGGTTGCTCTTGGCAGCCAGCGAAACAAATATATGCCTCAGAGAAGCGGCAACCGCTCGCCGCCGAGCGGAAGGCGGGCGCTCGAGCTCCCGCGGTTGACGACTGGGAGTCCTACGAGGAGGGGGTAGGGGGGAGGGAGGAGGGGAGTGGGAGTCCCACGAGGAGGAGGGAGGGAGGAGGGGAGGGGAGGTTGAGAGTGGGAGTGTCACGA